TGGAGACTGGAAGCCGGAGAGGAGAGAGCCGTAGATACCTCCTCAGACTGTTTACGACCACCTCCACTACAGCCAAAAGCAGCTCCTGCATTGCTACATTCACTCACTATTTCTTGCTTTCTAGCAGGTCTGTGCCAGTAAGAGTGAAATAAGATTAAAGTAGAGCGATCGCTAGAAAATGAAATAAGTTTTGACAGTTTGCATGGTTGCATCACTCCAATCAAAGGTCTCTTTAAGCAGCTCAAACTGACTTTGAACTCCCTTTTCTCAGTTACAAAATTGAACATGAAAGATACAATGTCCAAGTTTTATTGGAAATGAAAGAGTGATTTTTGTGGCCTAATTGTTTACATTTTGTAGCAACCGCTTATCCTGGCTTGCTGTTCTTTTCATAATGTTGGCATGATCTAGATATGAGCGTTGTTGCTTCACACTGGATGCCAAACTACAATCAGATAGAGGCATCATGTGAAGCCTGATATTACCATGCATGCATCACAGAGAAGGAATTATTATGTCATTATCACTGGTTTCAATGATCCGTAACCTCAATGATCTGGCTTTTGAAACTTCTTTTGAGTCATTGAGTCAATCAGAGTTTATGGTTGCATGAGGATCAGCAGATTAAATAAATAAACAATGTTAAACTACCTGCAGTGGATGATGTAATCCCTCTATCAATCTTCATGAAGTAATGGTCCCTATATAAGAGGACAGATATTTGTTTAAAGTAATAAAAAAACTGGGGACAATTAAAGGTAGCAAGAGTAGTGTCTGTATAAAAGTTCTTGGTGGACCAATGAGTTACAGCTCACTATTGGACAATTACCTAAAAAGGAAATTCATGATTTAACTGGACTTAGTTGGTACTTTGTCCAAGAAACCTTGTATAAAGCGGTTCAGCTGTAGTAAATCTGTTTATGAACAGGAAAAAAATCAGTAAGGCAATAGTATGAAAAAAGTGATGTTTGCTGTATTGAGTCTGTAAATATGCAGTGCAGCTGAGAACAGTGAACTGGAAACAGAGATTTATAGATTATGATCTGTTTTATCTCATGATCTCGCAACACTTTCACTTTGTCTGCAGCAAACTACTTTGACTCTTGTGACAAGCGCTTATCAGGATGAGACCTGAAAGAATAAAAAGAAGGCATCGTAACAAGATCAGTTAAAATGAAAGTCCTCATAGATAAGGGCTCTATAGAGTTTAAATTCAGCCCATACAGCAGGGGGCTGTTAGGATGATTCTAAGGGCCCATGACTGATGGGGGCCCTTAGAAATATTGGAAGAGTAGTTCATTTCTTTTCAATATATATATTGTTTTGTTTTTTTTGTTAATGGAGCCAAAATTCCCTGGTGGCGTCCCTGGCTAGTGAATATCTTCAAGTTGCAATGGGGTTGCTCCTGTTGACTTAGCCATTCTGGAAATCATCATGAGCTGCTACAGCAGCATGCACAGGCCTTTCTCAAGTATAACCCATTAACTGTCTCAACGGGTAGGCAATTTACAATATGCCAGGCTGGCTTGCCACAGGCTACAAGCTATACTTTTGTTACACAGTTAGTTTGGACTACAGTTCTGCTCAATTTCTGGCTGCAGTTTCATGCAAAAAATGACTATTGTGATCACTATTATAGACTCTGTAACCTGATCTACCTATGAGTCATGAAGACAAATTATTGGACCAAAATGAGCCTTATTTTTAGCCTTAATTTGATGATAAAGCTCCTTGGCCAGATTGTGTATATGTGACAATGTTGCAGATGGTGCCCTATGGAAAGCTTACAAAGGAGGTGTTTGGGCCAAAATCTATGTAAGATAATATGTAGCTGCCTTATTGAAATGCAATTCATGGGCACAATGACCTTCAGTAAAATTTAAAATCTAGGTCTATTAAATAATCCCCTCGGCACATCAAGGTCAGACCAGTGGTCCCATCTGATTTAGGTCTAGTGGGCTTAATTATAAAGTAGCATATTCATACTTTTTTTTTTCAGACTACACAAGGCCATGACACTAGCATTAATAAATGATGACATGTGTGTGTGTGTGTGTGTGTGTGTGTGTGTGTGTGTGTGTGTGTGGTTATGACTAAGTTTGGAATATAAAAAGGGTTAATTAGTGTTCCTATTTGCAGTAGCAGTACTTTTGGCAGTGCAGTTGGAAGACTAGGCTGTTTCTATCATGGAGAAAAACAACAGAGACTAGCTGCTCATTTCTAGAGGCATTTTAATTGCTAGAATTCAGCGCCAAGCTAAAATGGTCTCAACCCGGCTCCAGCATGAGAAAGTAACAGAAGCGGCTCCCTTTAACACCTCTGAATCTATGCTGCAGAATAATGTTACTGGTCAAAATGCTCTGAAATATAACATACTTACATCGGGTGCACTTAACAAAACTAAATCCTCTGACAATTGTGACCTAATAATAGTTACTTGTGCATCTGATTCTGTGCACATCTGAGTTTAATCTGCTCAAATTCTTCCCTCCAAAACTAAATCCATCTCATAAAAACAGAATAAAAGACTTCATTTAGGTTTTCAGAGGCCCTTCATGTAAAATGATATATCCAGAAAACGCCTACCCCTTTAAGTATATCAATGTATTAGCATTTGTCTTTAGACACAGAGGGTCAGAGGTTGCCGTGGTTATAAGCCTTCTATTTTGAAAGTGAGTGTCACAGTGAAGCACTAAGTGACATTCTCTGAGGTGGTTTTCTCCTTTCTGGGTGCTGAAAACTGGATGTAAACAGTTCCAGCTCAACGAAAGCCGCAAAATAATAAAGTTAAATTGAACAGAGGCTGAAGAACAAGACCAGTTCTGTGTATCTAATTTATTCACTTATAATCATGTAAACTGTTCTGAATGTCTGATTCAGGTTTAATCCCCTCCAATTTCTTTAACTTTTTTATTGCCTATTTATTCTCTTCTTCTGTGTCAGAGCATAGAAGCTTAAGGAGGACATTGCCCTGAGCTTGAGTCAAGCTACTCATCTTATGATGCCACTTTCAATCTTACCTACTAAATTATGCAAATATTGTTTGAAAAAATGGATAGAGAGTCTAACACTTAACAATTGACTTACTATTTCAACTTCAAATGTTCTAGCTGTCTATCATTCATTCTTCATTGCTGTTTCCAGTTTAAAAAAAATATGGCTGCCACCAACAGGGGCGTAGACTGACCAAAGAAGGCAGAATATTCAATTATATAACTACCACAGCATCAAAAATACTGGCAACTGAATCATTTCTGTCATGCTTTGTTGCTTCAGTGCAGGGTTGTTGTTGTTTGGTGTTTAATACTAATATTTTAATGAAATGGCTTATTTCAAGAGTCACTTCCCACCCAGCTCTGGGTCATAAACATAATTCATCCCATGGGGCCGCCGGTTTGGCTCAGTGTTTGGAGTGTGTGCCCAATGTGCAGAGGCTCCACAGCCCACACAGCTGTCCTGGGTTGGAGTCTGACCCTTAACACATGCTGCATGTCCACCCACACTCTCTCCTCCCAACACTTCCTGCCTCTCTTCACTTTCTTCTTAGAATTAAATAAAATAAAGTGCCCTAAAAATATCATAAAGAATTCATCTCCTGTGGACCTAACCATTCAGGATTCAGGATTTTAAGGAATGTTCTTTAAAAAAAAAATGGATTTGTCGGGAAACTTTTGTTTGCAGAGCAAACATACTTTATGCTTGATATGGACCAATAGCTTCAAAGTAAATATTGCACCATATAAATAAAGCCTTTCAAAATGATTCTAGATGGAATGTGCAAGTTCAATCCAAATAAGTGAGGTTTTCATTTGGTTTGGGTTAAGTTTGCAGAGCAGATATTAGACATTTACTTTTAGGCCTGTAGGTTCACTGATTTAGCGTCAGTATTTTATTAATCTCTGGAGAAATTATGACAAAAGCCATAAACTCAAAAGTTGCAAATCATACTGAAGAAGCTAAATGGCTTAATAGTCATGTAAATAAAATACCTAAAACCTGTACTTACTTAGGCTTATGACAATATTGTAAAAAAAATAGACTCAAAGATTTCCCAACATGTAACTGAGTAATACTGTTTTAAATTAGGGATGACTGGTTTTCAATACCGCTGCCAAAGAAACTCCCACAAATGTCCACACGTGTCCAATGTTTATTTCATGATAAATATGCATGTTTATTTTTGTGCAGCATTCCTTTCTCTGGCTAGAGGCTACACAAGAGACTCAATTCACCTCTCTTAAATCCTCAGCGCTTGGTTTGAATTATTCTCCTAACAAGAAATTGTCTAATGCACAAGACAATCATGTCATTAATCTGTCACTCGCCTGGCTGTCTTACATGTTTTTGTAATGCAAAAGCACCAAAAACATGTGCTACTAACAGTTTACATGTAGTTCTGTCTCTTACCTTACTCACGTCCATGTAACAGTATTTTTTCCCTCTGAAATATATTGCCTGCAGGGACAATAGATTGAGCGGGTAAAACAAATTCTCAAATGTAGCTCCACAGGCTAAATGTTATTTAGGCTGACCAAGCCAAAACATGTTTGCATAGCGTGGTCAGCACAAAAGGAAATATGTGGCTTTTGGCCAAATTAAGCCAAAGTTATCAGGATTCTGAGGGCAGATACTAGACATTTTCATGGAGAATTAAGTAAATATGAAATTCACAATATTCTAAACACAAAATGAAACAAATGGTTAAAACGCCAACTATGTCTTGAACTTCTGACCTTGTGGGCTGAGGAGTTTTTATTATGACTTGACTATTAAGCATTACAGTGAACTTTACTCAAACATATTGAATTATTGATGCGGTAATCATTTAGTTTATCATTTTTCAATGACTCCTTTATGCAGGAAACATGTTTATCATCACCTATCAAGTCAAGAATTGATTTTAAACCTCAGATCCTGTATCAACAGTTTAGGAAGGTCCAGTGTAATTCTTTCATAACGTCAGTGGCATGTATGTATTCATTAAAAGAAAACAGTATAAGTGAATGTGTATAATAGCTTTATTTTAAATCATCTAGTTTAGAACCTATTGATGTAAACTTAATAGAAAAAGCAAACAATATGAATTAAACAAACAGGAGATTGGACAACCAGTGCCTCCTCAGACGCATTAATTCAATGAAGCACAATAACACATGGAGACAGCTGAGAACCTTCGGTTTCCATGAAGCTGGAGGGGAATCAAATACCATGAAGTTTCTACATCCTCCTCTGGGCTGTTAGTGAAGCTGCACACATGATTTAGATGTAGGGGTTCAGGGGAGGGGGCACACAAGGCACTTCACCACAACCAGTTCCAGCTGTTTCTTTTTGTAAATCTGTGTTTTAAATGTGAAGAAGTCCACAGGGACCCAAGTTCACCATGGGACACCCCACTCCCTGCAAAGTACCCCACCTTTTCTCGAGTCCCTTCTCAGCTTCAGGGCTTCACAATCACAACCAGGTGAGAGTCTATTCGTCTTCCTGTCTTACCCCTCCTATCGGGTTTGCGGTCTGTCTGATGTGTTGTCAGGGGTCTGCATACGAGGATTGTACAGGAGATCTTACTCCCAAATTAACCCCATCTATCAGCACAGGAAGGGGAAAGGCAACACAGACCATACTTTGAAGTGGGAATGGAGCAGTGTTACAAACTTCAAAAACAGGGTAAAGTATGTAACTCTTTATCATCACAACAGCCTTCAAAAGCCTCGCCAAGGCATCTGGATTTTGTTTGGACCTGGAATTGGATCTGTTTGTGTGGCACTAGTCTAAGAGGTCCCGGGCCAAAGCACATTGTACAGGTGAAATTAAAATGTACTGTACCTACATGTGAAATACAAACACACAAGCATATGTATATATACATCCTTCACACAACACAAAACTCATCTTATAGCATTATTATATACAGTATTTGTGGCTCATAGTGGCAAGCAGGGGTGATTGCACAAAAACCTTAACAGCACTCCAACCTTATATGACTAACTAAAGAACTTCTGATATTTCAAATAAATGAACCATTTTCAAAATGGTTGTCTCGTCCTTATTTATAGAAAAAAACTTTTAAAAAAATAGAAGGAAAGATCGATGCCATATTTCTTGACATTTAATTTAAAATATAGTAGTGGTATGACACATAGATCTGTTCCAATGGTTTCTACCCCTGCAGTCCGTTTAACACAGGGGAAACCTCAATGAAAAACAGCACAATTCAATTTATGCATTTTAGAAAAGTATACCTACAGCTGAGTGAGAAGTTAGACTCTTATTTTGAGAAACTTGGGTAGTACTACAACATGTCACTTAAGAGACAGCAGTAAGAATAACTACTGGGCGTAAAAATCCACTGAGGGTGAATTAGGGTTACAAAGCCTGAGTCACCAGGCATGACAAGCCTGTATGGTCACTTTTAAAAACATTGTGTTGTTTGTCAGAGTAGATCCTCAGACCTGTTTGTGAGGCAGTTAAAGCAGGAAGAAACAATTTGTCAGGTGATGTTAGATCATTGAATGATGCGTCTAGTCTGGATCATGGTAAAGTCCATAAACGGTACATCTCTGTTTTTTGAGCAGAGTATGTGTGGCATTCAATTTCAAACAAATACAATTAAAAAATCTAATATATTGTGATCTGTTTGCCAATTTGAAATAAAATGTGTTCTTATTTTGACACACGCTCTTCCGGTGAGGCGCCAGACTAAAAGGTGCAACTACATGAAGCTAATCCACAAACAGTGCCTTAACCAATATGTTTCACATCCTTGTGTTTTTTGCTTCAAATATTACATTACAAATGTGGTTGTCTACATACAAAATTATAAAAACATACCAAAACCTTAATAAAACTCCATAAAATCAATAAACTCCTGGCGATTAAAATAGTTGCCTCTATTGCTAAACCCACTCAGACTAAAAACCCAAATCTAAATAGCCCAGATTTTGGCAGAATTCAGGCATTTTAAGGCGGTTTCACCCAATATACTTAATTGTGGGGAGCATTTTCCCTGCAAACACAGCCTGAGAAGCTTTTTTTAAGGAGGTGGTGGCATAAAGGCACGTTAAAGTCAGAATAACAATTGTCAGTTGGCAGGAAAGGACTCATAAAGGGATGCCCATGTTCCTCTGTTTCTGCTGCATGCAGCTAACACACATTAGCCACGAGCACTTAGTGTATCTTGATATATCATAGCTTTGTTGCTGTGGGTTTGGAGTCTTTCACTTAATGCAGCTTTACGCACATACACTGAAACATCAACAATGATGTCTTAGGAATAATATGCCCCTCTCTCTCTTACAGGAGAAAAGGAGGTCATTATGGCGTCTTTGAGAGGGGGCTCATGCACCTGCTGATGAGATGCAGCCCCTCTCAGTCAGTCCAGTGGTTGGGGAGAAGGAGGGTGGTGTGAGTGGTTGACAAAGAGGGAGGGAAGTAAGGGCTTAGAAGCTGCAAGCTACAGACCTGATTCCTAACTTAACTCCTTTCTAAACGATATACAAAGGTCAGAATTTATAAAACATTCTAAAATTTGACTTCTCACTTTGCATCAGGAGTCTGCAGTGGAGTCAGGAAAGCCAATGACCCAGGTTATTCCCTGAACTACACACTGTTGATTGCACAATAAAGGTTGAAGACCCAGATTTGGGACCTTATAACTTTAGGTTTAGGGTCTACAGCCTGCAGCCTTTGTCCTCTAGAATCAGCCCATATCAAACTGTGCCTGGATTGTGGTGATAGTTGTAATGGTTGCTATGGTCAGAGTCCGCAATCTGCAGGCTGGGTTTCCTCTCTGGCTCTTCGCTATCATCCGTCTCTTTCCTGGTGCAATGTGGAGGACGCTTCTTGAAGAAGTCTGACACAAAACGCACCTGCAGAGAGTGGAGAAGAAGGGAAAAACACAGGAAAAGGAGGTTAGATTTGGTCACTGAAGGAAAAATGTTCCCACAGAGATTGGAATATTTGCATGTGAAGGATACAGAGGAGGGAAGGGGCTGGGCTGGAAACTGTGATTACATGTGTCTGGACAGGTCTGTGCACAGCTGGTGAGTGACATACTCACACACATCTGAGAGGAACACACAGAGAGCGGGCACAACCCCTGTAGGCCATAAAACACTATGCCCAGGAGGGTCTCTAATTGCACACAGCACGTTGAAGGCCAAAGGCGCAGGCTGACTTCACAATTAATCATACATGCACAAACACACACACATGCACACACAACACAAGGAGAATCTCACACACACTACCATTCCAGAATTTCCACAAGGCGGTGCTGACAGTGGCTCATTCCAAACAGGGAATTGGCCAAACAATAAAGTTCCCAGCTGGGATCAGTGAAAAGAGTGGACTTATTGCCTGAGAGCACGCCAGTGTGAGTGTGAGGTTTTGTATCCAGTCACACTTTGCTGCTGTCACACTTCACTTCCATTAGTCTTCCTGTTTATATTAATTTTTACATCAAGATTGAAGTACAGCTGAAATATAGGATCTATTGCAACGATTTGGCTTTGAAGGGAGTATCATCGACAGAAAGTTCTCATTCTTCATCACTCTTAGGACCTAGTCAGTTCCACATGTGTTTGCTTTTTTCTCAAGCCAGAAACCACAGAAGTAGGACTCAAAGTTACCATGTCATCAAGTGAGGCTGTAGCTACTTCACAGAAAATGATATGTTCAAAAAGGTTTTAATACTTCTGTGTTTAAAGAAGAGAACAAATGTAAAGTTTTCAGCTGACAGCGTCACAGTATTTTCAGTGTATAAACTCATATTTATCTAAATAGGCTGTGTTAGCCTCAAAGCATCTTTACACCCGGAACACACCAGATGTTACACGTTATTTCATGGACATAAAATGTAGACATTTTTAAATTTGACAATGTTGTAGTTGAAAAAAAAAAAAAAAAAGGTTGTCTTGGAGACTCACATTAAGTACAGCAACAAGTGCTCCCTGCAGCAGCCCCATCAGCACATCACTCCAGTGGTGCTTGTAATCAGAGACTCTGGTGTAACCCACATACACTGCAAAGGCCACCAGGAAGAACTGGATGGTGGGCCGGAGAAGTCTTGCCCACTTAGCCACCAGTCTGGCCTGCACGTAGAGCTGGACAGGGAAATAGTGAGTATGAAAAGAAGAGGAAAGGTAGGGTGGGGTGGGTTGAATGACGAAAAGACAAAAAAAAAAAAAGAGATAGGAGGGGTAGACATGGTTATTATTCAGGGGTTCCTTCCTTTTGTAACAGCTTGCTTCAATACTGAAAAAAAGGTGTCATAATTGGTGTTATCTATTTAGATAATCTTACAAAAAAATGTTGTCAGCAGCAAAAAAAACTGTAAAATAAAGACAAATTATTCATTTGTACTGAAAATACCAGCATGCTGTATCATCAGGTATAAGGGTAGATACATATTTAATTCAAACAATAAAAAACAAATGATGATAAACACAACGCCTCAAAATGTATTCCTGTTAAAAAAAAGGTGTAAAGGACCACTCAAATTGAAGTCCTCTATGGACCAAAACCACCTTTTTTTACTGGAAGACACCACTTTCCATAAAATTATAAACCTGGCAACAGAACTGACTTCTCTAAGCTTCTGCTGGGCTGCTGTTGAAGGTGCAAAAAAATTGGCACTGCCACACTCTGCAATCATCACTGTAAGACACATGCTGGTTATTATAGCTTAGCTCTGCTTGCTTGCACTATTTTCCTGGACACTACCTTAAGATATGAAGTCATTTCTTTCAAAAACAGTTTTTTATTTTTTATTTGGACTGAACAAAGTGAATAGTTTGGCCTTTTGAGCCTCACGGTCTCACACTGGTGCCTGGCTTTTAGCACAAAGAGACAAGGCCAAGGGTAATGAACTGTATGGGTCTGGAAGACAGAACACAGCACATGCTTTTTTCCTTGATCATTGCTGGGAAAAAGTCAGCAGAGGCCTCCAGATCATTTCTCTCAGTAAACACATTCTTCCTCTGAACTCTTGCCTTGTTCTTTTAAAAGTCCACAGGCACAAACTGCTTCTTTGGGCCTTTTCTTCTTTGCAACAATTCTGCCTTCAGTTTAGATCCAAATGGTGAAGCAATTTATCAGATGACTCTTTGGTCTGTTAAGCCTGATTCATGATGAGATATTTGTAGGGACATAGCAAAGAGATTATTCCATGTTTACTGTACACAGAAATACATGTTTATATGAGTTTTGAGCAGAACTTACCGCTAGGAAGAGCATGCAGTACATCCCGAAAGAGGAGTGGCCAGAGTAGAAGGACAATCTGAGGAAGAAAAGTCGTCTTAACTTTAGAGTCTTTTGGGCATCATTTTTTCAGAAAATGAACTGTGCTCCCAACCATGAGCAAACCCCTTTTTTTGTTAACTAGATCACCAGAAAATGATCCTGTTATTACAAGAAAATCAGATTATATTTTTTTTCTTCTCAAGATAATGACATAATGAATCTGTTATGTAAAAAAAAAACAGCTTTGCCATCCCGTGATAATTAGAGGAATAAGTCCAGATCTTGAGAAAACAACTCTAGCTAACTTGTTTAATACAAGAAAACTAGAATTGTTATCTGGAGATAATGAGATAAATAAGTGGAGATCTCAAGACAACTATTGGAATTGAATCATATCACAGGAATAGGAGGTAAGGAAAATGTCTGGATGGATGCACTTCTGCTTTGATCTTCTAGATAAATCCCACACCAGAACATTGATGTTAATGTAAAGCATCAATTAAACATATTTTCCCTTCAATGCACAATAACACAACTTCAATGTGAAGATTTTCTCCCCCTACCTGGACTCTGTGACGTCCTGAGGCCTGCCTGTGCAGTTGATCACCTGCATGTATCCGGTGCAGACCTTGGGGGCACACACGGTCATGAAGTTGGGTCTGGGGCGGCCAATTGTGAACTTGGCAAGGTCAGTGAGCGACTGGCTGACAGCTGCTCCAAACAAGAAGGTACCCACTACCTTGTAGAGAGCAGCTACATACTGGTTAAAGTCAGAATTTGAGTAAATCTTCTTGCTGTAGACCAGATAAGCCTCTCCAGAGCAGATCTAAAGGAACAGGCCAACAGAAGAAAGAGTTTAGGGATATTCAATCAGTTAGTATTTTATCTGCCTCATTAGAATGAAACTATTTTTCCTTTTTATCCCTTAACACATTGCCTAATTCTTTGAGGCAATTTAGTAATGGAGCGAATAGCACAGGATGTTGAAAAGTGACCACAGCTCTGTTAACTTTCTATAATTTCTGGCTTTTTTGAGGTGGGACTTAAAAAGCCCTCTATGACACTTACAATGATGACAGTGCAGGAGATGGTGACCGCCGCCAGCATGCCATGAGTAATGGTGTCTTGTTTTATGGGGTACATGATGCTCTCATCGTCACAGTAAACCCCTCTTATGTAAGGCTTAAAGACGAGGGTCATGATGAGGCATGGCAGTGCCGCTGCAGAGAGAAACAAACCAGAAGAACAACAACAGTTTATTGAGATGGATTAGAGTTAACCTATTTGGAGAAGTTGTGTTTTTGCTGAAATGATTGAAGGAACAAAGTTAATCCAAGTCTAAGGAACCCATATTTAGGAAAAATAATGTGGAATAACACATTTGTCTTGGTCTTTGCAGATTTTCAGACATGACATCATTCCAAAGCAGGGAAGTAAAAATGTTTCTCTAAGCACAGCTAAATTGTTTTCTCTCTCTCTCTCTCTCTCTCTCTCTCTCTCTCTCTCTCGCTCTCTCTCAGGCCTCAAGGTCTGAAACCCCTACCCTGAAAACAACCCACAGGGAGAAAATACATCCAGTAGGTAAATACCAGGGTAGAAATGCACAGCAAGGAGCTGAATAAACATGAACAAGACTGTACACAAATGACTGCAAACACAACACATACGAGGTCTGAATAATGTGGCTGTTTGCAAAACAGCTTCCCAAGGCTCCTGTGAGCAGGGCAGATGTCCTTGAAATGTTTGTAAAAACATCCTTGCAAAAAACTATGCACACACTCTCTTCCTCTTACATTTTTTCTGACATCACACACACTCACTTCACTACAGTTTGTAGTTGTAAATATGTTTATTAGTAAAACTTCCAATCTTAAGATGTGTTCTTTATAGAGTTATACAGATAGATACAAGCAGTTGAATACATTTTCTAGAATATATTTTGCTTGTTCTTTTTGCCAAACTCCCCTCAAGATCATCAGAGAATGATAGTGTTTAAAACAGATTTGGACTAACTATGTCAAACTGGGCCAACAAGAAGCAAAGAAACATACTATTTTACAAATACTCTCAGACCTTCTGTGGATGTCACATTTCTTTTCCAGGCAGAAGAAGTTGCTCAACATTTTGACCTATGAATGGTAAATGGACTTGAGCTTGTATAGCACTTTTCTAGTCTTCGGACTACTCAAAGTGCTTTTTACACCGCAGGTCACACTTATCCATTCACACACTGATGGCAGAGGTTTCTAAAGTGCCCATCAGTAATTCCTCATCCATTCATACACATTCACATGCCTCCATTGCAGCAGCGGGAGCAATTTGGGGTTCAGTGTCTTGCCCAAAGGACACTCTGCATGTGGCTCTTAGAGCTGGGGATCTGAACCCCCGACCTTCCTGTTGAGAGGCGACTGACTCTAATAACTATAGCAAATGTCCCTGGCCACTAACTTTTTTTCAACCCATTTTTGTGCCAACAGTTGTGAATGTATTATATTCAAAAGATATACGTGTTTGTAATGATTTGTCAAAGTTTCCTTGCCATCCATAAAGTCTTTGGTATTTGAGTGCTTTCAGTGAAGAGTTTCAAGCAGAAAAAAATAAATACCAAAACAGTAGCCCTGTATTTTGTGACTGGTATCACTATTTGTGACATTTAATAAGATATGTTAATAATTAATTTAAGCATGGAAATAATTACGAGTTTCAGTCCCACTGAGGAATGTACTCTTTACGCCCTAGTAGTCCACCACCGACACTATCCATAACATGCAGACAGACAGTGTTGGGGCCACTATGGAAATGCTGTACCGCCACATTCTCAACGCAAGAAAAACAACTGAGAGCACTTTGAAAAGTGCTCTCACCAATAGTACTACATTCCTGTGTAAATGAGCAGTGCACCCCTCCCATTCTTTTCAGAAAATGTCTGCAGCTGACATAATTCTAGGAGGACTTCCAGCGAAACTGATGGAGACTGAGACTAAAGGAAAATATACAACTGGATGGTGGATCTGGGCTCAGCTGCGCCAAGCATGAAACCTCTTATGATTAATATAGAATAACAACCTACTGTAAATGTTTGAATACTGAAAAAATACAAAAACAGCATTTATGTGCTTTTTCAAAAGCAGTTCAAAGGATGTGGTGAGGTATTTAAATGTTTTGGAATTTTAAAAAAAACTTCACAATGCATGGCACAAAAAAAAAAAAAACCACCAATGAATACAACTACTGAAACCCTTACTGGCAGGAGACATAAAAAAGATTGGCACCCCTCTTGTGTCTGTGTGGAAATGCTTCATCCAGCAGCTAGTTAGCTTAGCATGCAGACTGGAATCAAGGGGAAACATCCCTGGTGTGTTTAAAGTTATAAAAAATTTCTTTATGGTGGTTTATCAGAAAGACTGTAAAAAAGGGAAACAGCAAGCCAGGCTTTTATAAAAAGGTACAAAATTTGCTGTCTGGCAGAGAGTTACCTGAAAAGATTTGTTCCTTCATCATGTCTGTGCCCTGTGAAGCTACAGCCCGCAGTTAGCTTAGCTTAAAAGACAAGAAACAGCTAGCCTGGTTCTGTTGAAGGGTAACTAAACACCAGAGCTTTAAGCCTGTTTCTGTTTGTTTTTTAACCCTGCCTTTTAGAGTGTTAAAAGCAACAGAACTGTGGCTGATAGAGACAGGGAATAATAATTCATTCCTTTCTCAAATGCAGATAAGACTTTTCCATATTTGACTACAGTGTTGAAGTGACTTATCACAAGTTGTTTTTTATCATCCTGTTTGTCTGCTCGACTGTAAATGCAGCTCCTGCAAGGTTGGGTTACCATGAGTCACATGCAGTTATGTGTTTATCCTTTAGAGCTCTATTGTATATTCTACTCTCAACACAGAGCTTCTGTTTACTGAGCCAATAAGGTTCTTTGTCTAAATGGTGTCTGAGGAAAATGTGTGCTGTTGGCATGTCGCTAAACAATGTCTGTACTCATCTAATGACACCTCGGATAGTACGATGTCAGATAGAAAACAGATTCACACTGCATGTCATTGTAAAGGAGTCACTGCGTATGGTTGATAATTGTGAAAGGGACATTTCTTAGTTAATTAGCAACTTAGCAGTAAGGGAATTTACTTATTTAGTGACAGAGCCAGGCTAGCAGTTTCCCCCAGTGTTCAGTCTTTATGCCAAGCTAAGCTGCTAGCTGCTCTGTTGCTACATATTCACCATACAGATATATGAGTGTGATATCAATCTAACATTTTGCCAAAACCTAATATAGCCTACCTCCCAAAATGTATAAGCACTGCTTTGACCAACTTAAATGGAAACTATGAACACTGAACTTTTGGCAGTAGTAGCAGCTGGATGACAGATGTCCCTGCACAGCAACTTCCCACCACACTATCCACCAGGCGAATGTTGGATCTCTGTTTATAAGTCCATCAGCCATGTCAGGACATGGTAGACTTTGTTTAAAAAGTCTTACTGTCTTACTCCTCAAAGCTTCCTCTTAGAACCACTGAAATCCTGTTTGTCCCAACAACACAATATGGGGTCTTTTGTGTTTTACTAACATCCTGTCTGTCGGGAGCAGCAGTGATATGGATTTACTGAAGTGGCTTTTAGGTCATACATCTGTATCCTGCATCCTGCTTCTAGCTGTCGAGAAACTGATCAGAATATCAAGAAAAAAAACTGCCTTTGGTTTACATTGTTGAGAAAGTGTTGAATCTCAATAGGGAAAAATCATACATGGTGTCATTACAGAGTTATTAGCCTATTTGGTCTCTGACTAAAGGTTCCGATATATTCTATAAAGGGCTCAATATCTCCACCAATTACTTTGTTTGAAATAGAGGATTTCATTTGGGTGGGGGAAAAAACATTTGCAAGGAGTTCTGAATCCTCAGGAAAGTTTTGTTAAATATCTTCTTTTTTTTTTTTAATCATTTACAGTCTATTTAAATCCATTATGGCTGGGAGGGAAATTTACATCGCTTGTCAAATATTGAAACAATATTTTCAAAAGCACAACACTATCAGGCAGTTTGTATTACAAGATATGAAAACAACTGTCCATGGTGGGGTTGGTGCACAGGGTTGGATCAATTGCTTATGGGAGACATGTTAGCATGAAATCTGTCTCTGTTCAACATATTTTGTCAGCCAACTAACACTTATAAATACATGTTTCAATGTTTGTATTGAGCACCACATGAAAAACAAACTGCAACTACAAACAAAGCAAAGACAAGACTTGTTTGACTGGAAACAAACACATATTATTCCTACATAACAGCAAGTTTTGTATAAGACCAAGCAGGACAAAGTAAGGGTGAAGGTTTATTTACTAAATACAGCAATGATGAATCTTACTTTTTTTTCTTTTATATAGTTTTGGGCCATTGCTCCCAATGGACAGGACAGCTGTAGTAAAACAGGAAATGCTGGGAGGAGAGAGTGGGGGATGACATGCAGAAAAAGGCCAGATTGGATTTGAACCCACAGCTATTGCGTCTATACTATAGCCTCTGAACATTGAGCGCTCTACATAAGGGATAGCATTAGGCTAACCGGCGCCCTGTGAATGTTACTTTTAAGTAGCAGAAGGACTTCATTATTCCTACAGTGGAGTCACATGGTAAAGTAACTTCAAACTGTTTTATGAAGCTTTTAACACTAGCCAGAGCAGAGTCATTAATCACAGCAGACAGAGAAAAATGAAGTGAAAATCTTCAGAGAAGTGCCAGCAGCTGATGAAACATGTCCCTTTCCTCCACCTAGCAACTCAAAAAAGACTCAATAACTTTTGCTTGTACTTCAAACATCATTACAACCTTGAGTATTACTTGTAGGCTGTTTTCTTAATTTAGCCATACGCTCATGGCCTTGATAGATTTGTTATTTTGCATATTTAATCGTTAGGCTTTACCAAACTTTGGATTTTGACAGTTGACACAGTTCATGAACTGAGTGAAGTCAGGCCACCTGGCCTTAAATAACCCTCCCTTGGCTTGTAATAAATGTATTTTTTTCATTTCTGGATTAATGAATTGTGTTGACCTTAGCTTAACAGACATTTTTACAAGTTTGGGTGTAAAAGCTTGCATATAAAATGATGTAAAGAGTCTGGTCTTCTCTCATGGGGAGAACTGGTACATCCTGAGGTGTGTAGATGTGCCTAAAGAGCAGAGCCTCTGTGAAATATCTGCCAGAAACAAACAA